CCAGCGCATTTTGCCCAAAGGGCTGGCAACAGAACTCTGCATCCTGACCTGTTTCTTCAAACCCCTAAACCCTAATCCCTAAACCCCTAAACCCTAAACCCTTCGAAACTCCGAGACAGACACCACCCCCTGGGTCGGCTGTTGCACCTGGTCACACGCAACAATCCCTGGGCATCAAAGCAGCCCAAAAGCCTTATATAATATGGTCTTTGGGCCCAAAAGCCTTAAATCTATGAGTCCTTAGATGCCTAGGGAGTGGTCGTTTTTGTTCAAAGTTCGGGCTCATTTTGGGGTTCAGGGTGTGGGAGGCCGCTTTCTCGAAGGATCCTACCTGTTAGGGGTCGCAGACTGAGCTCCGAGACTTCCAGGGTTTGGGGGTTAGGGGGCCGGAACCCAGAGCCTCCAAAACCCCCTAATTAAGGAATATACCTTAAATTATACTAGGGATCCTATTATAATTTACGGTATATTCCTTCATTAACGGGTTTTGGAGGGGCCGGAATGCCTGTTAGGGGCTGTTAGGGTGCATGTCAGGATCTCCTGTTGCTTGAAAGGTTGGTAGCGTTTGTTTAAATTCTGTCTTGGAAGGAAGGGAGTGAGTAAATCCTGAACCTTTAATGAGCCCTGTTAGTTCCTAAGTGCGAACCTCAAAATCAGGAAGCTAAGCCCAACCTAGAAAATCTCAAAACTAGGTAGAATCATGGTCCAACACTTGCAGAGGCCATTGCTCTACAGATTTTGGGGGTCTAGCAAAGCCCGTAACCGTAAGCCCAAACCTTTCAAGCATTCTTGCCTAGGATGCCCAGTAGTACCCTTATTCCCTTTTTGTAGTCCTGGGTTCCTTATAAAGTTACCCAATACCAAAAAGAGAGGCCTTTTTTTTCTTAGGTTACTGGGTATCCTAGCTGCTTAAGACCCCAAACCTTGAACCCCACAGCCCTCGGGGTGTCCCGGGGTTTGGGATGAGGACTTTGAGTCACCCACACCTACAGCTAGGACCCAGAGCAAGCCCTTATTCCCGTTTTTTGGCATACAGATCCCCTTAAAACCCCCTATAAACCAAAAAGGGCACCCTTTTATTACTCGGTTACCCATAAGTCTAGACAGAGATTTTCCTCATTGATACATGTTCAGTTCCCTTAAAACCAACTATAAACCTCCTAGTAGTACCCTTCTTCCCTTTTTGTAGTCCTGGGTTCCTTATAAAGTTACCCAATACCAAAAAGAGAGGCCTTTTTATTCTTAGGTTACTGGGTATCCTAGCTGCTTAAGACCCCAAACCTTGAACCCCACAGCCCACCTACAGCTAGGACCCAGAGCAAGCCCTTATTCCCGTTTTTTGGCATACAGATTCCCTTAAAACCAACTATAAACCTCCTAGTTACCCTTCACGCCGTGAGAAGCAGATCCGAGCCTGGGGCCCCTGATGCGAGTCGCAGGATGGCCCCGCTTTGTCAAAACGGGGGGTCGCTGAATGTATACCCTTTAAAGGGATCTATAGGGATTCTATAAGGGTATAGGGTTTAGGGGTTTTGGGGTTTTGGGGTTTAGGGGGTTTAGGAGGGACCCTTAATGGGACCCCTACTCTATACAGTAGAAGCCTAAAAGTTGGAAACCCAATAGCCTCTACCCTTAATGGCAATTGAAAGGGAATCCCAGCACTATTTGGCCTTAATCCGGTTTCCAACTTTATGCGGTTTACTGTAGGGTAACCAGCCGTAAGGAATGCAATTATGCAGTAAAATGAATGTAATGTTTCTTCATGCTTTACATACATGAGCGCACCATGATGATGCCTAGCAGAACTGAAAAAGGTGCATTGCGCAGTCTCAAACCCAAAGGGTCCTAGGTACTGTTATGGGGGATACTTCCCCATATCATAATTGTAATTCCTAATATGGAAACCCTACATTCTACTATACAGGTACTTTGGACCCTTAGGGAAACCAACCTAGTCTCGACTTCGTGGCTACTTGGGATCGCAGCTTGAGCAGCGACAGGTTCGAACTGCAGCCGCCCAAAAGCCTTAAAGTACGTAATATATATATATATATATATATATATATATGTATTATAGTATATAGATAGGAGCTTCAGATAGTGTAGTATATTCTCAAGGACTAGCATTGGTGATTAACACAGACCATTTTCTTCCAGTCAGGCGTTGAGGTTTTTTCGGATGGTCAGCCACTAGGTGGAGGAAAGGCTACACATCCATCTTCCATTGTAATTAAGCCAGAGATCTTGAGCTCACTCCCAATCCCTTCCGGGCAGAGGGACAGCGCAGAAGACGCGATGATGACCCGATCACGGCTTGTGCTGCTTTTGGCTTCTGCTGCCCTGGCCTGGCCGCCTCCGAATATTTGAGTTGCAGCCGTGGCAGCAGAAGGCGTGTGAACTGCAAGAATCATGCAAGATGGAGATGCTCTCAAGCCTGACCTGCTTATGTAGATTCCCTAGGTCCAGTCGTTTCCGTTTCTGTTTCCCTCTCTCTCTCTATCTCTTTCTGTTCACCCTCCCTCCCTCCCACTCAGCCTCTCTCTCTCGCTCTCTCGCTCTCTCTCTCTCTCTCTCTCTCTCGCCAATGCTGGCATGTGCGTGGCTTCTGGGCTATAGGTTCAGAGGAGGTCCTCTGAGCCCAAAAGCTGTGACAGGCCTCCCGCGGGGACAGCCAGGAGACTGATCTTGAGGTTCCCCGGCCTGGTAGTCGATACGGATGGTTGTCAAATTTATGGTCCTTTTTTGGGTACCCTAAATATAAGGTGCCGTATTATCTTAGGGATCCAAAAAGGAACCATAGTTTTGAGAACCACCCACATGTTGGGGTTTGGGGTTTAGAGTTTAGGGTTTGATCGTTGGGGTGGCCGTTATGACATGTTGTGTTCCCCCTTGTTGGGCCCAGGATGACCTTATTCTCGAACAGACAGATGTTCAAAGTCCAACCTGGGCTAACTGTGACTCATTCGTTTCGCTTCTTGCTCCTACGGTTTGGAACACCCGAAATCCTGTTTCAACAAGGGAGATACCGATGTTGCCCTAAATACCCACTATTGATCACCATAAGGGTTCTATTCACGGGCACTTGAGGGGGGGGGGTCCTGGTAGAGCGAAGGGTTCTGGGTTTACGGGGTGCACCGTGTGATGCCCAGCTTCATAATTCATAAGTCAGTGGACAGGATGGTCGGCCTCAGCCATTGAAACCACAAGCGCACCTGAAGAACCAAGAGCAGGGTTTAGGCTTTAGGGTTTAGGGGTTTAGGGCTTAAGGTTTAGAATTAAGGGTGGTTCGGCCAAGAAGCTCATAAGTAGCTGCCCCAGCAACCTTCAACGATACCTAGGTCTCACAACTTAGGCGCTGTTCAAGAGTCCTTCGGTTGGAGGTGATGGACTACAGTAACCCCAAGGGTCCAAGTACCCAATAATTAATCATATACTCACCCAAATGTGAACCTACATAACTACTATCCTAAACCCAGGTACCGTATTGTTGGGTCCTTTGGACCCTTGGGTTAATCCCTGAACGGACAGATTGCCTATCCATCGGCATCCCAAAGAGAAGCACGAACAGCTCCCAGCAACCTTGCACACTGCACCCCCCCAATCCGAGCCGGGGCATGTTACCCCAGCCGACTTTAAACCGCCATGCCCTTTCTTTTAGTATAACGTTCTAATTACAGATAAAGAGACAGATACACCAAATGAATTAATCAATAAGTATAAATATAAATATAAATTAAAAAAAAATATATATATACACACATAATCTGTGGGAGCCCTCATCCAAAGCCGGCTTTCGGAGTTCAGTGCAATTCTGAGTCATGAAGGTTTAGGGCTTATAGGCTTGCAGAACTCCCGACACCGCCGAATCATATCAGACTGCGTGGCGGGCATCCTGCGTTTTGGGATCGAAGGCTGAAGCTTGCAGGTTCTGTTGTTGGTATGCAGGGATCGGAATGGTTACTAGCAAGTCCCCTTTCTAGCCCCGAACCTTAGGAGTATACCCCCATCTAGAAGCCTGTTCGAAGAATGGAGGCTTTAACACTCATAGCCGGATAGTAGCAGCTGTTAAACCCTTATAGATTCCTTCAACAGGAACCCTATTCTAGCTATTCAGGGCCATACAAAGCCTTAAGCTCTTAAACCCTACCTGGTTATCATTTCCGTGTACAAGTCCTCAAGATTGAAAAGATAGGTTGTTCAGGGTTAATAATTACCTATACTATTTTGGAAGTTCTTTTTCATAGTTTTATTATTTGGGGCACCGAAACTCTATTCCATTAATTGTTAAGGCCCCTATATTATAGAACCCTATCTTAGATCCCTTATTGCAATCCTGTAAAAGGAGCCCTTTAAAAGGAACTCTAGTCTAATTATTGAGGCCCCCATATTATAGAACCCCATTATAGATCCCAATTGTAATCCTTTAAAAGGAACTCTGGTCTAATTATTAAGGCCCTTATGTCAATGTGTGTGGATGGTTGCTTCGATTTGCTCCAGGGCCGGTAGGTGAGTGCTACGGTTGATGATCTGCAGTAGAAGCCGAAAAGTTGGAAACCTTTTAGCCTCAATCCGGAATCCCAGCACTATTTGGCCTTTATCCGGTTTCCAAGTTCATGGGGTTTACTGTAAGTCAAGGGTTCCTTCAAGGGGTTCCTCTAAGGGTTCTATAAGGGATCTTTAGGGTTTAGGGTTTAGGCGTTCTACTGTTGATGATATAAATCCTGCCTTACCCATAAGGAATGTATTATTCCCGTAGTCTACGGTCCTTAAGGCAATGCAGGATATATATATATATATATATATTATATTTATTTATTTTTTTATATCATCAACAGTATGATACAAGGGGCCTGACTTTCTTGTTTTAGGGTTTCAGGTTTCGAATAGGGCTCTTAGGCTTCAGGTGGGTTGTCGTCATAATACATGCTATACCTGTATTGGGACTATAAGGTAGTGCGATTACTCATTGTTCCGACCTCTGTATTCGCAGATAAGCCGCAATGTCGACCGTGCTTCGCCACTGGCTTGTTTGGGCCTGGCTGATACAGACCAGCGATGGCAATGTGCCACTGCCGTGGAAACCTACCTGGAACGTTTCCTTGCTAAAGGGTAGCAGGTATGGTTTCAGAGGTGATGCCCGATGTTTCCGTAGGCATCTGATCCGACAATGGTCTGAACTGTCGAACACCGAAGTGAAGATCGAACGGCGGACGAGCCTGGGTTCTTGTTAAAGGATTCAGTTCGAATTACCTTAATAAGGAAACCATAATAGTTACTATAGATCCCTATTGTGGTAATTTGAATTAAATCTATAGTCTGCTTAGGAATTATTCGTTGTTTTTGTTCATATAAAACCCAAGAGAATATATATATATATATATATAATAATAATAATAACAATATAATACAAGTTATTTTATGATGACTCTAAGGGTGGGTATAGAAATCACTTAACAAGAACCTAGGAGCTGGCTCTTCCGGGATGTTTGCTGCTCGCTTGGTCGGACATCCCCGTGTTGGTATGGTGAGCTGACCTTCCAGCGGTGCTGCACGAAGGCACCTGCTCTGCCGCCGGGCGGATTCGGCTTGCCGCCTTGGGACGTTTGGGATTTTCGAAAGGAGTCTGCGTGCTGGCCATCTCCGATAATCACGGCGTCATGCTGCAGCTTGACTCTCCCACAAATGTGCGCTTCCGACGCTTGGGGCAAAGACCCATGGAAGCTCATGAAAAGCTGCTGCAAGAAGCAGAGCTTGGATGGCAAGAGGCATCTTTTGCCAGAGCCTCTCCTGAAGGGCTGTCATCAGAGGCTGTACTATGAGGAGTCATTCATACAGCTCCAGGGCCATTGCCTTGGAGTGCCCCGGTTGCTGGGCTCTTGTTCATGAATTCAATTTAAGTTGCCATAGTGGGGATCTATTGTAAGTAATATGTCCTCTTTTGTTGTGTTCCTAAACCTTAAACTCTGAACCCTAAATCCATTAGCAAGAGTAATGTATCCTCTTTATTATTTTCCTAAACCGTAAACTCTAAACCCTAAACCCTAAGTACCTTAACAAGAGCCCAGGTTGCGGCCAGATCAGCTGGGCAGCTTAGTGGCTTACTATCACCGCACTGGGGATGCATTGCCCAGCATGCTGGAGATCCAAACAGGCTTGAACAATCGAAGCTTCGCTGCTCTTAGGAATTATGCGCTGCTTTTTTGTTATTAAAGTTTAAGGGGCTTGACATGAATGTATGATATTTCTACTCGTAGGAGCTATTCCAATTTCCATTATATAAAACTTAAGAGGATTACAACATTAATGTATATTACTTCGACTGTGGTTCTACGGGCGCCTAAGGAAAAGTAAATGGCCTGGAGTTGTGCCCTCCATCCATGATGCTCGCTCGACTCCTCCAGATCGAGAGAGACAGCATCTTCACTCCCCCCAAGCTCCTGGGTTTCGGAGTAGTTTGTGATTATGAAATAAGGGTATGTACCATAATGCAATGTAAGTACTAGAATACACGATCATGATGTACCATAGCTTATCATAACCTACGATAACCTCTTCTCCCTGGTTGCTTCAAAGCCCAGGCTCACCTTGTCAGCTTTAGCCAGTGTAAAAGACTTCTGGCGAAGCCTCGAGGGCTACGTCAAAGTGGCTGGGTTCTTGTTAAGGGACTTAAATTTTAAATTAACTTACTGTAATAAGGACACCATCTTAAGTACTTTAGATCCCTATAGAAAAGAAACCATATTAACTACTATAGATCCCTATGTAAGGAAGCCATAATGAGTACTATAGATCGCATAAATGGAAACCATATTATTAAGTACTTGTACTATAGATCGCTATTATGATGACTTAAGTTTAACCTTAAAAAGGAACCCAGGAGGCCCCCCATCTTATCATGGGGATCCTTAGGGGTGGAGGGGGAGGGGGGGTAGGGGGCCTTAAGGCCCATAATAAGGACTAATAAGGCCTATTTAAGGAACTATAGTCCCCTACACCACTCCCCCCTGCACCCCTAAGGATCCCTATGATCTTAAGTACTATTATAGATCCCTATTATGATTGCCTTTAATTTAACTCCCCCAGGTGGCACCAGCAGCGAACTGGAGCCTCCCCGAGCCTCTTGCGGGGTCCCGGGGTAGTAACTGGCTGAATGTCACTAAGTGGCACTTTGGGAAACTTTATTGTTCCCCCTCTTAGGGCCTAGGGTTTAGGGTGGCTTTTGGGAAACTATAGTTTCCCTCAGTGGGTTCACATAGCAATATAGCAGGCCTTTTGGTACATCGTTGGGGCCCAGAAGTTTGTACGTAATCTATGCTGTTACTTGGACCTTTCGGGTTTCTGATCTACAACCCAGGTAACGAGCAGCAGCATCCGGGAAAGCTTCCTGCGCATCGACTCGCAGGCAGAAGTTTCCGAAAACCTTCGGTGCCTTATTTTGGGGTCCTGGTAATAAGGATCCTACTACTAAATAAAGGGTCTAGGGTTTAGAGTTTCCGAAAATTAGGAGTACCTTGTTTGGGGGTCCTGATAAAAAGGATCCTACCATTTAGGTGGGTACTATCTTAGGGTCCCCTATTTTCGGAAACTCCCAGGCAAGGGAACTGGCATCTCTGGCCACTCGCAGAAAGAGACGAGGATTCTACGTGAACCTCGTGCTGCCTGTATGTGGTGATCATGACATGACGTACCTAGACACGATGGAGCGTTCCGTTCTACAGGAAACCCGGCCGTTGAAGGATGTGATCGATCTCTACATCTACGACGTTTGCTTCCGATTCTTTGAATCCGCTGCCTACGGCATGGAAAATGATGTAGAGGTAGAGCTAGACCTTCGCACCGGTTCAGAAGTGCCGGGTTCTGCCTTTGCCCTCCGGGTCCTCCCGGAATCGCTTCTGCGAGTGGCCCGACACTTCCGTCGAACTCTCCTGGTGCCATTTTTCGAAGAGCTGCCTACAGGCGAAGTCGCGCCGAACTTGCACCATGTTTGGAGGCACTACGACGATCTCCCAGAGTCTGGGCTCTTGATAAGGAACATTAATTAAAGGTTACCCTTATGATTCTTATGATGGCAACTTAAATTCAAGTCCTTAGCCTTAATCGGGATCTATAGTAAATAATGTGGTTTCTGTTCTATGGTAACTTACATTAAACTCCTCAACCAGACCCCAGGATTTCATGATGATCCTCCATCCGGACGGCTATGAGCACATCGAGATCTTTGCCCTCGTGTCAGTGCTCAACTCCCTAGCGCTGAGGCTTTCTAGGGGAGAGCGAAGGAGGGAGTAGAGAGGCTCCTATAAGGGATTACATGGGACCAGAGATCCCAATACCCCTTAAATAAGCAATATACCTTAAATCGTAAGGGCCTTCATATTATGATTTTAAGCTCTATTCCTTAATTAAGGGGTATTGGGCTCTCTGGGGGGACTATCCTGGGGATCCACCCGCCCACTCCTCCTTAAGCAGCGGCGGCAAGGCTGTATCCCGACGTCGGCTTCTTGCACTTGGGTCGTCGCTTCAATGGCCCAGTCGACGCGTCAGGACGTGTCGGTTCTCTGATCAAACCCTAACTAAACCCGATAAACCCCCAAAAATTCTAAACCCTAAACCGGCTACCCGATAAACCCTAAATCGCTAACTCTAAACCGTAGCCGGATAAGCCCTACACCCTAAGCCGAACACATCAGGACGCGTCGGTTCTGAGATTCAGAGCTATTGCCGGATGCGTCCGCCAAAGGACGACTCGTTTACGGCAAGAAAGCGCTCCGTTTTCCGAGGGGAGTCTTGGTTCCTATAACCATATATGGGTGATTGTCAAAATTAGGGTCCCTTTTTGGTTCATGATTATAATACGGCACCCAATATTTATGGTGCCCAGAAAGGGACCCTAATATTGACAACCACCCATATATGATGTATCCCAGTAACCTATTCTAGGTGACACGTTGGGAGAAGTTGAAATTGCCCCTCGGGCTCCTATAGAGCCACCTATTCATAAATACTTTTACGGGCCCCAGAACTACAACCCAGTACCTGGTAAATCAAGTAACATTTGACTTTAACCTTTTTTTGGTGCACTACAGCCCTAAATTCTAAACCCTAAACCCTTTCCAATAGCTGGATGCAGCCCAGAAAGTTGACCAATAGTTCCGCCAGTGCACTGGACTTTGGGAAAACCGTAAAGTATCCCTTATGGCTCGTATAGAGGTACCTGTTCATAAATCCTTAGAATTTTCTCTATAGGTTCATCTATGGGCACCCACTCATGAATGGTAAGTATCTCCAAAGGCCCCGAAGCTACAACAATGAATAAGGATTCTTTCCTGGAGCGTCACACGACGAGGTGGCCGTCGGGTCCATACTGTCAATGGGTCGAGCACGCCTGGGAACTCCTTTTTGACCGACCTCCGCAACTTCCGGAAGACGACCACGGGGCCCATTATGAGAGCTTTTTAGGATCTTGAAAACTGAATAGGTATCAGGTATCCGTTTATATGTACTGGCGTTAACTTTAAAAGCATTTCCGAAGGATTATGGGGGCTATGACTTTGCCCAGTACATCGCAAGCCGGAAAGCTGCGCAGAGCAGAACGAAGGGGTTTTGGCAAAATGCCTGGCGCTCTCTTTGCAGCAAAAGCAACTATCAGCTGCTACTTGGAACGAAGTTTGTTTCTTGGAGGGAGCTCGCTTCCTCAGAAGGAGCACGGTCAGCTTATTCCTTCCATAAGGGGCTGACCACGGCTTTTGAGCATCTCTACCATGTGATCTTCAATCCGGGAGCAAAGACCCTGGGCTTTGGAGTACCATACTTTAATACTTTTCTCTTAAAGGAAGCATTCTGAAATAACAGTTTTTCTCCCTAAGCCTTAAACCAACCCTAAACCCTTAGCCGTAAACCCTAAACCCCTAAACCCTAAACTTAAAAGCCATTCAAAAACAGCAACAAAGACTTAAAAACCATTAAAAAACAACAAAAACTCAAAAGCCATTTAAACAAACAACAACAAAAACTTTAAATCCCAGGACCTGGCTCTGGCCAACCCGGCTCCGCGATCCTTCGCTTCCTCTGGGACTGAAGTTCGCCATGGGTGGCAATCCGACACTCAGTAGAGCTCTCCATTCGGGTGGTTGTCAAAATTATGGTCCCCTGTTGGGTACACTAAATAATAGGTGCCGTATTATAATAATGAGCCAAAAAGGGACCTTAATTTTGACAACCACCCATTCAGGTTCTTATATTGGGGTTTCGGAGTATAAGGTTTAGCTTACTGTAGGGGCCTTAATTGTAGGATATGGTGATAAAAAGGAGCCCTCCTGAATAATATTGCTAACTCTTCCCTATGGCCTAGGGCTCTAAGGACTCTCTTTTTGAGGCTTTTGGGCCCAAAGGCCATACTGTATAAGGCTTTTGAGCTATTTTGATGCCCCAGGCTAGTAGAACTCTCCATTAGGGTTCTTGGGGGCTTTAGGGGGTACTTGGTAGTAATCTGAAAGTTTAAGCCTTTATTCCTATGGATGAACGGGGAAATGAGGAGTCTTCTCCGACACTACCGCTGGACACCACATCAGCCACTCTAGGCTTGCGATTTGGAGATCAAGCCATCCGGAAGCTTACCTTTGGTTAGTAGGGAATGGAAGAATGGTAGTAATAGTAGTTATAATTGTACCCCATTCCTCCATTCCCTACTTACCAAAGGTAAAGATCCCTTTAAAGGAACCCTAGACCGCTTTAGATCCCTTTAAAGGAACCCTAGACCCCTTTAGATCCCTTTAAAGGAACCTTATAGATCCCTTAAAGGGAGCCCCTAAAGAAGGAGCCTGCAGTCGCCGGATCCTGTGATTTCCTTTGCCCAGCATCGCTTTGACTCACGTGCGAGATGGAGGCAACCGGACAACTCCCTGCAACTCCCTCCGGACCGATCGAAGGTGTCCATACTGTGGGAGTCGAAGAGTCAGCCGGCTGGGCAGAGATGGTCATGGAAAAGCCCTTTAGCAGAGGTGAGCCAAGAAAAAGGAACTTTTCAGTGTGCCTTACTGTTGATGATATATATATATATATCCTGCATTACCCATAATCAGGAATATACCATAATTTCCATAGTTTAGGGTCCTCAATGTCATGCAGGATTTATATCATCAACCGTTATCAATCGTTCTTCATCCTCCAAGAACCCGCAAGTCACACAACCATGGACCGTTCACGCTGTAGAATGCCCAACCCCAAGGCCTAAACCCTTAACCTCAATGCCCAAGCAATGTTTAACAGTACTCTAACGATAGAAAATGTGCTCTGCTGATCTTCTACCGCCGTTTGAGGGTCCACACAGCATGAGCGGAAAGTCGGTTTTGCATGGTCTTGTAACCCAAAACCCAAAACCCTAGCCTCTAAACCCTACACCCCAAACCCTAAAGCCTAAATCCTAAACCCCTAAACTGTTCTACTCTTGTGTTCTCTTCAATGGCGCCATTTGGGAGTTTCCGAAAACAGGGGACCCTAATGTAGTACTCGAAAGTGTAGGATCCTTATTATAGGAACCAAAATAAGGTACCCTGACTTTCGGAAACTCCCAGCCCTTATAATAACCCGTTAAAGGAACCCTTATAGTACCGCTAAAGGAACGTACCACTAATTTTCGGAATCTCCCATTTGGTAGTTTCGGAGTCAGTTCCTCGGAGCTTCTGCTCTCTCACTGAGTTCTTGTTAATGAGTTCACTTCAAATTACCATAACGGGGATCCATAAGGGTTCCTTTGGGACCTAAAAGGGTTCTTGTAGGGGTGTAGGGTTTAAGGTTGACGTTACCATAATAGGGATCTATAGTAAATAAGATGGTTTTGTTTATGGGAACTTAAACTGAACTCCTCAACAAGAATAGTCATAATACCCCTTATGGTCATCCTTGTAGAGCCCTTCAAAAAAAAGGGACCCAATCATTAAGACCCCGAAGGCTAAACACCCAAGCATCCAACATGCACCTGGGCCTCGGTGGCCGGGGACTGACAAGACCCAGACCTTTACTTAAGGAATATACGGGGGTTTCCGAAAATAGGGGACCCTGATATAGTACCCTGAATACTAGGATCCTTATTATAAGGACCTCAAATAAAGTACTCCTAGTTTTCGGACACTCCCATACACTAATTTATAATAGAATCACTCTTAGGTTTTGTAGGTTTTGAGGCATATTCCTAACAAAAGGAGTTGGAAAGGTCTGGGGATTACCGACACCCAGAGAGAGAGAGAGAGAGAGAGAGAGAGAGAGAGAGAGAGAGAGCGGAAGGTTCTGGGATCAGGCGGGTGGAAGCGTGGAACTGGCATCTGCAGATCCCCTGAACCCTAAACCTTAACACCTAAACCCATGCACACGCAGCAGCGTGACCAATTATCACTTTGACAGCACTTCATGTGAGGCATGCCTGAAGTGGACATGTGAACACTTCTCCATCTGCCGAATGCCATCATTGGCCGCAGGGACTTGTTTATGTCTTCGGGCTTCACCCAAAACCCTAGACGTATCAAAACCATGTCTGCATTCATCTGTAATACCAATTTCAAGCACTTCCGGAACCCGAGCCCTTCTAAAGCTGCATATGGTCTGGCACCTTTGATCTGTGGCTCTTTCTGTTGTGCCGCTCATTTGTAGTGATTGTAATGTTTTTGTTCGGTTGTTTTTCAACTTTGCTGATTTCAGCTGACAGTAGAAGATTCCTCACAAGCTGTTGCAGACCACTACATCTTTCCTGGACTTTGCCACTCCAGAGGATATATGCTGCATTACGCCGTCTTGACTTCCTTACTAGAGGTTTTGTCTTGTGCGCCAAAGAACATGCACCGCTTAAGCGGTTTAGGGTTCGTGATCTTGCACTGTGTATGCTGCTGCGGCACAAACGCCATTGAACCCAGGCTTGGCGTTAAACTACGACAGCCAATCGTTCTACAGGAACGCTAATCAATGTAGATATCTGGGTGTGTAACTGTAGCAAAGAACTCGCAAGAACATGCGTTGTCGTAGTTTAAGGCAGTCATTGTTCCCCAGCCCCCGAGCCTGACAAAATATTGACTTTTGTGTTTGTCACACACACTCACACAACGCAAACACACTGGGCTCGATATGCATCAACCTCAACTCCAGACTCAAAACCGTCGACCTTAGCTTTAGAACTCTACCTATCCCTGACCCTCAACCCTATGAGTGATATGTCGGGAGCCGAAGGGGTCGAGGGACTGCTTTTGCTTCTGCGACTCATAAAACAATCTTGTGTAGAATCAGTCGAAACATCGGAGGCACACGAAACTGTAGTCACACTGCCCTGCACATCGAGTTCCTCATGCCTGCTGCCCGAACCCTGTATCTGATCTTCCAGGTGACTTAGTGAACTCCGATTCTTGCTCCCGCCACTCTCAAAACACTTATTGTCAGACCCAGTAATTGTGTTTGCGCGGCTCGTTCGAAAAAAGCACGCAGGTCCAAGCGACTGTGACCTGTAGTCTCCAATGTAATTCCCTTTCTTGCTTTAGTGACGTTCATATGTAGGACCCTGTACAAAAGGCAGCCCCCCCCTTAAAAAGGAATTACAATGGAGAGTCTGCAAGGACCATTTACTTTGCACATCACGTTTCTTGGCTGTTTGGTTTGGCTCGACCGCTTGCATGAAGATGCAGCAGGATCAAAGCAGTCATGCAGGGACGCTTGGTAGGCCCAGGCCACCGAAATCCACCGCAGTTCCTTGCCGAGCAAAATACGGTTTTCGGGTATATTATGGGATACGGATTAGCATACGAAGCGCTCAGGATACCATCGGTAATTATTCAGGATTCTATCGTAGCCCGGCCTTTTGCAAAGCAAAGTTTCAGCTTCCAACTAAACTTCAAGAACTTGGAGAACCCGGAAAGGTTTACGAGCCCTTAAACTTCAAGCCCTTGAGCCCCAAATGTTTAAACGCATGACCCTAAGTCCGAAGATCCCAAACCTGTAGCCCCGACGGGACGCTCTGTGTAGCTCCAGTTCTGCATGGCAAGATGTCGATTGCAGTGGAAGTTGGGCTGCTCAGCGGCAAGAGGGTGAGAGTGGAAGCCGACTTCAATGAAGATGTGGGATCAATGAAACGCCGCGCACAGATCGCACTCGGAGTCGGACGAGGGCGGCTCGTGGGCTCCTCCGGATGTGTTCTGGATGGATGTGCACCGATCAGGCATGCAGGGCTGCAGAACGGTGATGTACTAACCTTGCATATAAACAAAGTCCAAGTTGAAGCTTCTGCCAGGGCTTTTGCTGCCCTTCGTGGCGATGGATCGGTTGTGACCTGGGGTGATGCTACCTACGGTTGTGACAGTAGTGCCGTGCAGGATCAGCTGAAGAAAGTGCAGCAGATCCAAGCCTCTCGGGGTGCTTTTTCTGCCATTCTTGGCGATGGATCCGTCGTGACCTGGGGTCATGCTGGCCTTGGTGGTGACAGTAGTGCCGCGCAGGATCAGCTGAAGAACGTGCAGCAGATCCAAGCCTCTGCCGGTGCTTTCGCTGCCATTCTTGGTGATAGATCCGTCGTGACCTGGGGTACTGCTGCCTTTGGTGGTGACAGTAGTGCCGTGCGGGAGCAGCTGAAGAACGTGCAGCAGATCCAAGCTTCTCGCATGGCTTTTGCTGCAGTTCTTGCCGATGGATCCGTCGCGACCTGGGGTAGTGCTGCCCTTGGTAGTGACAGTAGCGCTGTGCAGGATCAGTTGAAGAACGTGCAGCAGATCCAAGCCTCTGACGGTGCTTTTGCTGCCATTCTTGGTGATGGATCCGTCGTGACCTGGGGTGATGCTACCTACGGTTGTGACAGTAGTGCCGTGCAGGATC